CTCCACGAAGCCACATTGAAACAAAAAATCGCTTTTTGCTCTGACAGCAAAGTTCTAAAGCGAGAATTCCAGGTCGACGACCTGGTCTTACGGAGAAACCAGAATGACTCGCACGAGGGCAAACTTGCAACAAATTAGGAAGGTCCCTATCGTGTCCGAGACAAGACGGAGCACGGGGCCTACTACCTCGAAAATCTACACAGGGACCAGATAGTTCGACCATGGAACGCTGAGAAGCTAAAAAAGTAATACAGTTAAACACTACCAGCAACATCACGCATCGTGACAACAAGAGCGCGACATGCTACGATTGCGTCTCCTCGAAATCAACGAGATAGCAAGCCTCTGCCTTTGTGTGCGCGGGCAGAATGCTCTGCTCGACGGAGGACCCCTCGATCGAGAGTCTCCACCGCAGTACCATGATCGGCAGAACACCTAGCTCGCAATGGAACATTCACACCGCGAGGATATCACCCTACCATGGTCCACCCCCTTAACCGACCAGGTAACCACACCGGTCATCCGACCAGTTCTCTACACTATCGAACACAAATTTGTCGAGCTACCACTCCCAAACATACAGAATAAAACGCAATAAACATACATTGCAGGCATACAAACGTGCAAAAATAAAACGAGCATACAAACATAAACGAGTGCACGCTTAACGAAAATATGATATTATAAAAATGGGCACTAACCCAGTATTCAAGTACACCACAAAAGGGCACGCAGGCTCGATAAAAGTACTCAACAAAAAAATAACAGCAAAATATTGGCGCGCAGGCCTAGAAACTACGAGCACGCTCGGGAGACATCTACACATCCTCAGACCCATCCGCCTCGCGCTCGTCGGCAAGAGTGGTATCATCAGCATCTTCACGACCAGGGGCGACCACCCATCCGTCAACGATCTGGTGGAAAGGCCCGATCCCATCAACGACCAAGTTGACCTCGGGGTTCACCACCCTGAGTTGCTCCACGACACCGAAGAACCCGACCTCGATCGCCTCCAGGAAATCATGCTTCAGCTCCCGAATCCTTCCCAGCAGATATGCGCGGGTAACCAAAAGCCTCTCCTCGTCCGTCTCACCGTCGACGGGATGAAGCGAGTCCTCCAGCTCCCCCACACGGGCTCTCAGCTTCTGTAGCTCCTCCTTAGTGGGTTTCAGTTTCTCCTCGGCCTCGACCCCCTCTTGCGCTGCGCAGCCGCTTCCCCATGGCTCTGTTCCAGCTCCGTGGCCAGCTTCGTTAGCCTCGATTGAGCAAAGGCAAGGTCACCCTGCAACTTGACCAGCTCGGTAGAGGAGCAACCCTTAACACTTAGGACCAGAGCTGTGGAGAAGACCCGCATCATGGAAGCTAGGTCCTCAGTCAGCACCTGCCTTCGCACAGCCCGATCCGACCTGAGGATCACTTTCGCTTTTGTGACCGGCACCGCTGGCGATCTTGCACCGTGAAAGAACCCGGGCTTCTGGTGGCACAGGGGAATAAAAAATCCCTCCTCGACTAGTCCCCCGTGAGATCGACGACACCCTCCGACGATTGGGCCCTGTCCCGCTTGGCAGCCCCTTGAGACGTCGGGGATCGACTGCTTTGTGGCGATGACGAAGATCCCCTTCCTCTTTGGTCCGTTACAGCCTGCTGGACCACCTGGGTGACCCTGGTCTTCCCAGCTTTGGACACACCTTTAGAGGCCGACAGTTTCCTCACTCTCTCCTCGACAGACGACATGTTCCCTACAAAAACAAAATAAAGAAGTCGGCAAACAAACAAAAACAACGATAACGTCGGGTAGAGGAAGTTGACCACCACATAGAAAATGGAGGGCCTCCTCGTCAGACGAGCACTCAAGCAGAGCTTTCGTGCTAATCAACCTCTTTCGCTGACAAGTACGCCCCTAGCTGTCGAGGATATAGTTACCGTCGGGCGTCACCAGTTGAGACGGGGGTAAGCTATCCACAAAAGATACTATCTTTTGATAGCCTGCCAAGTCTTCCTCGTCCAGGGTCCCCGCTCGCACTATGTACTAGTTTGTGCCCTTCGTAAAATTCTCCTTCGTCCACTCCAGAGGCACCCTCAGCACCATAACGGCCTCTCGCTGCCCGTCCACTACGCAGTCTTCTCGCTAAAATAACGAAGCACGCGCCTCGTGAGATACTGGCCAAATAATGAAGAAACACGCCTTAAAATCCCAGACATAATCCATGTAGGTCTTGAAAAGCTTCCTTGGATGCTTCAGCGAAACCCATTTGTGTTGAGCATCGATTGTTTGCCTCTGTAGATGGAAGAGGTGAAAGAAAAGCGATAAGGTAGCCCCAACGTCCAGATGCCTGCAGACGAGCTCGTATGCCCGGATGAAAGCTGTCGCGTTGGGATGCAGTTGTGAGGGAATTAACCTCAACCAGTCGAAGACCCCCAACTAGAAATCTGTGAAGGGCAACCTGAGACCGACCTCCCGAAAACAGAACTCGTACATAGGAAACCGCATTCTCCCATATGTCGAGCAGATACGGGGATGCTCGCGGGGCCGATATACCTGCCAACTTATACGTGTATCCACACACCTGTCCTCGACGGTTGCAAAAGCACCAGTCTCGTCGTTGACAAAGTACGAAGGCGTACTCAACAGCTCTTCAGCTACCCATTCTTCGACTCGCCGACCTCGTACTTCGGCGGCCGGAGCCTCGGGCTCCACATCAACGTCCATGGTCCCCGGGACCCACAAAGTCATATCCACCTGAAAAGCAGAAGGAAATGATGAATTCAATGTCCAAGATCAAATTCACCCTTCCACCACAGGTCAAGTGAAAGGGCGACGGGGACAGCAACCACGACGGCAGCGGAGGCCACCCAGGCATCCCTCCTCGGGGGATTCATCCAACATCCCTCATTGCCCCCGGGGCGTGCATCTAATTCTATCATGCGTCCCCGGGACACCTATCTAAAACCAATGTCTGTCCCCGAGGTGTTCACTCTACCCCCTAGAACGTCCTCGAGATCCTCATCCTAAACCTAAAAACCCGCTGCCGAGTGCGGCGGAGGGCCCTCTCCCTCCTCGGGGCGTTCATCACGCCCCGACACCAGCACTCAAGTGTAAAACAAGGAAAAGATAGGGAAAAGGGGAACTTACTGAGTTAGATGTAACGACGGTGCACGCAGTGGTGATTGCGGCGGTGCTGGCGAACGAATGCAAGCGCGGAGTTCAATCAAGCACGTGCGTAAGTGAGCGAAAGCGAAAATAGTAAATGGCCAGGGGCCTGCCTATTTATACCCCCAGCACGGGACTCGAAGCACCCCTAGACACTCAAGTACCCTAGGGTAGCTTCCCCGCATGGCCTACTGACTGTTGGACACCTGACATCAAAAACAGTCACGTCCCTTCGGTCTCCCCGTGAGGACGGACGGGCGTGGACGTTTCATCCGCCCCCTCCTTGACACGATCGCCCGACAGGACCGAGATTCCCACGCTTCAGCATCCTCGACAAGTCAGACCGACTAAGTTTCCTCCTCGTGCTCATACCCTCGACACGGCAGTCCCGCGAAGGACTCTCTTCGCGCATCCTTTCTCCCCAGCGCAGTACCATCAAGTCCTCGCTCCTTCACTTTGGAGCTACGACTTAGGGGGCTCCTGTTCTGGACTGGGCCCAAGCCTGCTCATCCGTCGGGCAGGCCCAGCCCAACGCTGCTTGGGGAAGGCCCAAATTGCCCAGTGTCGGGCACAGGCTCTCTCCGTCGACCAGACAGCTCCCTCGTCGAGCAAGACAGTCCCTCCGTCGGGCAGGACAACACGTCTTTCACACGTTCTCCACGTGCCCCCCTCCGCGAGGACACGTCATCAACCAACTACCCACCTTCAGAAGAGCTGGTCAGTCCACCTTCCGGAGATCACGGGACGGTTGAACTAGGGCGAAGACCACGTCCTGATCTTCACTATGCCACGTAAGCCCTAACAGTCACCTGGGTTGGGCCTGACAATCTAGCCTAACACAAGTGACCGTTGGCCCTGCGCTGGGGCCTCACTATAAATACCCTATTTCGCTAGAGGGCCATGTATTCAATTCTTAACCTCTCTTCTGTATTTACTCCCACTCTGATCCATTACTTACTTTGGCATCGGAGTGTCTTGCAGGTACACCCCCTCCTCGTCCATATTCCTTGTGAGCAGCCTGCAGATCAACGACGCATGGCAGGTCATTGGTCCCCTTCTGATCAGGTCAGATCATTATATATTATATCAAACTTATCATTTATTAGTACTTTTAGAATTTTAATAAAAGGTATAATTTGTAATTTGGATATCTAAAAAATCAATCTAAATTAAACCGCATGAAATTGAATCGGATCGTATCGAATTTTTTTGATCGAACCAAATCGCAAGTAAATTTAACTTTGAATCAAATGATATTTTAATTCAAAACCGATATAAACCAAATTGCGAACACCCATGTTTAAAACAATAATTAATATCAATACATTTATAATTTTTTGTCTTAATTCTTAATTTTTTAAATTTAGTTGTAATACTTGTAATTTTTTTTGTTTATCTTTTCATCTAAGCATTTTTGTTTTTATTTCTCTAAAATTATTGATTTATGTTAAAACTAATATATAGAATATGTAAAGTTTTTTATTTTAGCCTTTTTATCACTAATATTTGAGAGATTAAAATAAAATATTTTATTTAACAAAAAATTAAAAACTTAAATATTAAAAATAAGAAGTAAATATTTGCACATGATTCATTATATTTTTAAAGTTAAAAAAAAAATTGTAAAAGTAAATTTTTTGATAGGTCGTTTTCAATTTATTTTTTTTTAAAAGTAAAAATATGTCATTTTCAAGGTGTTGCATTGTATACATTTATTATCATACTGTATTAAAGCTTTGACAATGTTATATGCATATTTCTAACCTATTCAATAGAAGGCGTAGTAATATATAAGGATATCACTAGAATGCATGAACTACAATATTAAGCAAAGAAAGAACTGAAAACTATGGCTTCCTTGTTTTCCTTTTTAACTTTAATCATGTTTTTTGAAATTGCAATGGTGGCTAATATCATCAAAGGAGAGCCTCTAGTTCATGGATTATTTGTCTTTGGAGACTCTATTGTTGATGTTGGCAATAACAACTACTTAGCAACGTTGGTTAAAGCAAACTTCCTTCCTTATGGAAGAGACTTTGTGAATCACTCTCCAACAGGACGATTTTCTAATGGAAAAATTGCTTCAGATTATACATGTAATTTTTTTTTCTTCAAAATATCTAATTCATTGCATGCATTTTCTAAATTATTACTATTCCAAAACAATGGATGAATCTGATCTATATTTATTCATGGCAGCTGAATTCTATGGATTTCCCTTACATCAACCTGCTTATCTACAACTAGTCAGTAAAGGAAACAACCTGTTGAGTGGTGCCAACTTTGCCTCGTCTGCTTCTGGTTACTATCCCTCCACAGCAGCAAGATATGTAAATACATAAAATTAAACCTCTCTCTTTTTTCTTTACTTTGTATTATATGAGATAAATATAATATTTGACATACTTTTTATGCATGTTTTTGAGTGTAGAATGTACTTACATTAAGCCAACAACTAGATCTCTACAAGGATTACCAGAAAGAATTGGTGAAAACAGTTGGACAATCACATGCACTATCAATTATATCTGGTTCAATATATTTTGTTGTTGCCGGATCTGGTGATTTTGTACTAAACTATTACGTAAATCCGTTTCTCCAATCAATTTACACACCTTTTCAATTCTCAGACGTTCTTATAGAATCCTACGTTACTTTCGTCGAGGTACGTCTCTCTTTGCAAAGTAAAACTTCATTCAAATTCTACTATGCTACATGCATCTTTCTATTTAACAAGAGTGAATAACATTTGCATGTAACATGGATTGACAGGATTTGTATGCACTTGGAGCAAGGAAGATTGGTGTGGCAACAATACCTCCTATAGGCTGTTTGCCGCTAGTCATCACTTTATATGGTTCTTACAGCAACACATGCGTAGAAAGATTCAACGAAGTTGCTATGGACTTCAACAAAAAGCTCAACATCACTTCAGAGAAATTGCTAAAAAAGTTTCCAGATCTTACCCTAATCATTCTGGATATCTTCCAACCTCTCTATAAACTCATCATTAAACCTTCTGATTATGGTAAGAAATCTAATTACGTAAAACCTGTCTCACTATGGCTTATTAACAGCTTAAATTTTTACAGGATTTTCGGAATCTAGGAAGGCTTGTTGTGGTACAGGATTGTTCGAAGTTACGTTTTTATGCAACCAACTATCTCCAGGAACATGTGCTAATGCATCAGAATATGTATTTTGGGATAGTTTTCATCTCACTGGGACTGCAAACAAGCATTTGATTGATGCATTGACTCCAGTTTTAAAGTCTTTTATAAAAAATTAACTAAATAGCTTCTTAGAATGGTGATACATTGCAACTCTATTGTATTCTCTTTCTGTCTTAGAATAAGTATCACTTTAACTTTATTGTAATTTGTCTTAAAATCTGTGTGGTTTTAGTACTTTTAATGTAATATTAATTAGTGTGAAACTTATTATCTAATTAAAATTGTCTACTCTATGTTTTAGCTATTACTCCCATTATAGGAAGTCTCATATTTAATTTGTGCACATTCTTTAAAAATTATATAGTTAATTAGTGATTTAAAATTGTTTAAAAATTCTTTTTTTTATTTACTTATTATATTTAAATATTTTATTGTGAGTTATTTTCTGAGATATTTTGAAAGATTTTATCTTAGATAAAAATATATTTTTGCAGTAAGTATAAATTAGTTTTGTATTAGAGTTTAATTTAATTAATTTAGATAAAATTATTTGTAAGGATGAGAGAGTCACTCTATATTTAACTAATGTGAGAGTACTGATATTTTCAGTACATCTTTTTATGTCCAACACTCTTTTAATGCTTGAGGGTATATTAAATATATTTGGATTCTATGTTATAAATTTATTGACTCATTCTTATAAAATTGATTTGTTAATTAATGGATGCTACTTTATATAAAATTTGGTTAGTTTAAAGTACAAGTTAAGAGATAAATATACAAAATAATTCTTTAAAATTGTATAATAAATTTAATACAATCTTATAATTAATAATTTTATTGTTTTTTTATATATATTTTTTATTTATGGATTTTTTAAAATGTGCCCGGGCAAGTTAACATTAGGCATAAAAAAATTTTCAATCTTTAAATTTAGTGATGTAAAACTTGGAGTCTTTTTTATACAATACATATGTCTAATAAAATAAAATATTTAATAGTTGTTTAAAAATATTATTGTAAAATAGATATATATCACAAGGTGATAGATTGTTATTTGATAATGATATTGACATATACTATAAATTTTTTAGTTTTATTAAATGATTAAATACAGTTAAGAGTATTAACCTCAATATTGACATAGTGATTTTGATATTTCTTTTAGAAAGTAACTTTTAATAATGTAAGGATGTTTTAATGGCTACAAGTCAATGTAAATTTAGTATTAACGTTTACGTGTCTATGAATTCTAGCAGCGAAACGTTAACGTCAATATTGATTTATGCTGCAGCGAGTCATTAACATCAAAAATTAATTGGTTGCACTTGTTAATATGTGAGTTGATAATATGTCATGGTAGTTAATATGTGAGTCACTCTATACATCAGTGTAGTTAATATATTTTAATATGTCAGTTGTAACATAAACCATGGGCACTATTTTCATCAAACAATTTAAAGTCTTTTCAAACTTCTTTAATTATAAAAGTAAAAAAGTTGCAATTTTAAAATATAAGTTTTTAAAATATATTAATATTTATTATATTTAATATTAATATGTAAACATATTAATTATGATAATTACTTGTTTGTAGTATTTTAAAACTCAATCCGACCGATCAACCATTTTAAATATGCAACTAATTCATTAAAAATTGACATGATTGTGGACAGAGAGAAATTCTTAATTTTTTTGTCTTAAGTCTTAATTTTTTTAATTTAGTTTTAATACATGTAATTTTTTTGTTTATCTTTTGATCTAAGCACTTTTGTTTTTATTTCTCTAAAATTATTGATTTATGTTAAAACTAATATATAGAATATGTAAAGTTTTTTATTTTAGCCTTTTTATCACCAATATTTGAGAGATTAAAATAAAATATTTTATTTAACAAAAAATTAAAAACTTAAATATTAAAAATAAGAAGTAAATATTTGCACATGATTCATTATATTTTTAAAGTTTAAAAAAAATTGTAAAAATAAATTTTTTGATAGGTCGTTTTCAATTATTATTTTTCTTAAAATGTAAAAATATGTCATTTTCAAGGTGTTGCATTGTATACATTTATTATCATACTGTATTAAAGCTTTGACAATGTTATATGCATATTTCTAACATATTCAATAGAAGGGGTAGTACTATATAAGGATATCACTAGAATGCATAAACTACAATTTTAAGCAATGAAAGAATTGAAAAATATGGCTTTCTTTTTTTTTTTTAATAACTTTAATCATGTTTTTTGAAATTGCAATGGTGGTTAATATCATCAAAGGAGAGCCTCTAGTTCATGCATTATTTGCCTTTGGAGACTCTATTGTTGATGTTGGCAATAACAACTACTTATCAATGATGGTTAATATCATCAAATTAGAACCTCTAGTTCATGCATTATTTGCCTTTGGAGACTCTATTGTTGATGTTGGCAATAACAACTACTTACCAATAGTGGTTAATATCATCAAAGGAGAGCCTCTAGTTCATGCATTATTTGCCTTTGGAGACTTTATTGTTGATGTTGGCAATAACAACTACTTACCAATGGTGGTTAATATCATCAAATTAGAACCTCTAGTTCATGCATTATTTGCCTTTGGAGACTCTATTGTTGATGTTGGCAATAACAACTACTTACCAATGGTGGTTAATATCATCAAAGGAGAGCCTCTAGTTCATGCATTATTTGCCTTTGGAGACTCTATTGTTGATGTTGGCAATAACAACTACTTACCAATGGTGGTTAATATCATCAAATTAGAACCTCTAGTTCATGCATTATTTGCCTTTGGAGACTCTATTGTTGATGTTGGCAATAACAACTACTTACCAATGGTGGTTAATATCATCAAAGGAGAGCCTCTAGTTCATGCATTATTTGCCTTTGGAGACTCTATTGTTGATGTTGGCAATAACAACTACTTACCAATGGTGGTTAATATCATCAAAGGAGAGCCTCTAGTTCATGCATTATTTGCCTTTGGAGACTCTATTGTTGATGTTGGCAATAACAACTACTTACCAACGTTGGTTAAAGCAAACTTCCTTCCTTATAGAAGAGACTTTGTGAATCACTCTCCAACAGGACGATTTTCTAATGGAAAAGTTGCTTTAGATTATACATGTGATTTTCTTTTTCTTCAAAATATCTAATTTATTACATGCATTTTCTAAATTATTAATATTCCAATTAAGGTAGCTAAACAGCCTTAAAGGAGGCTTAATCCTTTAATTTTTGATGTGGTGAAGAAAGCGGTAATCAAGTTGTTGCAAGCAAGTATCATATATCTTATCTTTGAGAGTAATTAGATAAGTCCAGTGTAGGTTGTACCTAAGAAATTGAGACTCACTCTGATAAAAAAAGAAAAAGAATGAACTTTTTCCCACAAGAGTTCAGAATAGTTGGAGAGTTTGTATTGATTATAGGAGGTTGAACCAGGCTACTAGAAAGGATCACTTTCCTTTGTCATTCATTGATCAAATGCTTGAACGACTAGCAGGTAAATCACACTATTGTTTCCTTGATGGTTTTTCAGGTTATTTTCATATCCGTATTGTACCAGAGGATCAAGAAAAGACAACCTTCACATGCCCATTTAGTACATTTGCTTACAAAGGAATGACATTTGGTCTCTGCAATGCTCCTGGAACATTCCAGCGATGTATGATTAGTATTTTGGCTGAATTTATTGAAAATTGCATGGAAGTTTGTATGGATGACTTTACTGTTTATGATTCTTAATTTCATGCATGCTTGAAAAGTTTGAATATGGTTTTAGAAAGGTGCATTGAAACTGACCTTGTTTTAAATCATGAAAAATGTCATTTTATGGTTGAGCAGGGAATTATTTTAGGTCACATAATTTCTGAAAGAGGAATTTCAATAGACCCTGCTAAGATTGATGTTATTTCTATATTTCCTTATCCATCTTGTATTCGTGAGATTCGTTCTTTTCTTGGTCATGCAGGTTTTTACAGGCGTTTCATAAAGGATTTCAACAAGATAGCTCTTCCACTTTCAAACTTGTTGAAGAATGATGTGACTTTCAACTTTGATGAGAAATGCAACCTGGCGTTTGATTTCTTGAAGAAAGCATTGACATCCGCTCCCATCATACAGCCTCCAGATTGGAACCTCCATTTTGAGATTATGTGTGATGCATCTAACTATGCAGTTGGAGCGGTCCTTCCACAAAGAGTGGACAAGGCTGCCCATGTTATTTATTATGTTTCTAGAACTTTAGATTCTGCACAGACTAATTACACTACCACTGGAAAGGAGATTTTAGCTATTGTTTTCGCTCTTAACAAGTTTAGATCATATTTACTAGGTTCCGAGGTTGTTGTTTTTACTAACCATGCAACGTTGAAGAATCTTTTAAAGAAACTAGAAGCAAAATCGAGATTAATTAATTCGGTGGATGTTGTTGCTTCAAGAGTTCAATGTGGAGATTAAAGACAAAAATGGAGGTGAGAATCTAGTAGCTGACCACTTGAGCATAAAAGAGCGAGATGAAGATCCTTCTCCCATTCAGGATGACTTTCTTGATGAGCAGCTACTACTTTTACATGGAGTTACTCCTTGGTTTGATGATATTGTTAATTATCTTGTTGTTGTTGTTTTTTCTACAGGTGCATCTAAGGTGCAAATTCACAAACTCAAGAGTGATGCCAAATACTATGTGTGGGATGATACATATCTTTGGAAATTTGGCAGTGATCAGGTTATTAGAAGGTGTTTCCTCAACTATGAGATTGAATCTATTTTACATTTTTCGCATGCCTCTCAAGTAGGGGGACATTTCGAAACCTTAAAGGACAGCAAGAAAAGTCTTAGACTCAGGTTTCTATTGGCATACCATCTTTAAATATGTGTATGAGATATATTGCACTTGTAAGGAATGTCAAATAGCAGGTACAACCATCACTCGTAAGAGTGAAATGCCTCAGCAACCTATACTTTTCTGTGAAGTATTTGATGTATGGGGAATTGGTTTTATGGGTCATTTTCATATATATTTTGTTTTTCACTATATTTTACTTGTTGTTGATTATGTTTCAAAGTGGGTGGAAGTTATCCCCACTAGGACTAATGATTCTAGAGCTGTTGCAG